GTTTAAGTCAACTCGGATCTACTCAGTAGTTAAGAGTCTTGTGCTTTGTGTTATATTGCAATTTCTCATCATAATTGGCCTCCGTATTGTGCCAGCTTTGTTGGAAAATAAGAATAAAGGACGCTGGTTTATTCTGCAACAATTATACTATGCAACAGTGTCATTGAAAATGACCAAGCTGTGTTTAAAAAGGCAACGCCATCCCTTATAACCATTTGCTATTGTTTCAGTCAAGTGTCTGCACATGTCTGATGTTTTCGCCTGTTGCAGCAAGACAGTTTATTCTTTACTGCCTACGGCTACGAGAACATCTCGTGAGCAGAACAGGACAAGGACATGTGTCTGTAAGTGTTAGGAGCTGTGCTGTTCATGTTGAGGAATATGTTAAATGTCAAGAAGGGGATGCATTTGCATTCCCTTCCCAGTTTCATCTTCATTCTTTGAAGTTTTTATACAGTGATGCAGAATGAGAACACAGCAAAATGTACATAGCAAGATCAGTACTTCTGAAGAGTAGGGGCTAGTATGTAGAGATGCAGTGGGCTGCATTGTGTTGATGAGGTGTATTGAGGTGCCATAAAAAAAGGCACCAGAACACACCATTGATCATTATTTGCATAAGTGTGTCTGGACCATTACCCTTGTACAGAAAGTATAAGGATGCAAGTACTATGTGTGTCCAGGGTTTCTAAAGCCCTGACAACTGGGGCACAGTTCTCAGCTCTCCAGCCAAGTGCTCCAGGCCTGCAGCTACTATGTCCTATAGAGGGTCAGAGGGCACTAACTGTGTCTTTTTGTTTAACAGACCCACAGACATCCTTATGCACCACTCAGCCTCCAGTGTAGAGAAGTAAAGGCATTTAAGGCTTCTGGTTCATTAACAAAACAGCAGGCAGGCCTACCTAAGGATGGGCAATTACGCAACTTTTCCTGCAAGGTAGGGAGTGCAAGGTGCCCTAGATTTTTTGGATTATAGCAACACCCATGTATGTGCCCCATGCACAGTCTCCCTCTAAGTGCCATGGTGAGTCCTGGCAATGGAGTAAGTGGTAGATATGTCTGTGATAGTTGTTCTTGCGCAAATATATACTGTTGGTCGGAAGCCTAAGGCAAATAGGTCAAATAATAATGGGGATTCCAACATGGGCAAGTGTTCCTTTGGTGCCTTGTTGTAGCTGTTGTGATAATTTTTACCTGGATATTCATTAATCTGTTATTTCAGAAACCATATGCATGACCAATTAATACCAAGATCTGTCTGCCTGTTACTGTTGAAGCTGTTTATGCTATGGACTGACCTATTAGGAACACCTCACTTTGTGCATGCCGTTACAGCAATTCTGTGACGTATGAAATATATCAGGACTGCACTGAAAATACTAAAATACCTAGTCAGCAAAACTGCTATTAGCTTCCTCTGAACCCCGCTTTTCCTGCATTATATATTGCTATTTTAACAACAAATTAGTAAATTATATGATGTTTTATGAGCAGCTACGAGACCAAATAACAATCTGAAAACCAAAGTGACACATTTAGTTTAGGATTGTTTGAAGAACGTAGCTACGTGTTAAAGGTTTTTAAATTCAGACAATTGTCCAACACCTACTTTAAGGAGTAGTATGATGCTAAATCAACTAGTCTGACAAAGAAAATTGCAACTAAAGTGAAACCATGCTATGCCTATGTACGACAAAGAAACAATCCATGTTAAAGCTGGCCCCACAAATGCCAGATCTTCATACTCATCTTCCCTTTGCTCACCGCCCGCTAAACTATAAAGAATCTCTCACTGTCCTCTTGTGACAACACTGGATGCCTGGGTGGCCAATGTGTGTTAGATACAGTATGTCACCAGCACATTGGCTGGAGCCTGATGAAGGGACCCAGAGTGGCCCTGAAACATTACCTGTTTTGTGACATGATCTAAATGCGTCAACAAAGACGTTTTAGGACACATTTACTCCGATGTGTTGGTGACATACTGTTTCGTCTTGGATTTGAGCTGTGTTATCCACAGTCACTTCAGCACCCATCATTTTGGGGTATACTGGTAAGGAGTGCAGTGGGCTAATGTAAGTCACATGTTCTCCCATACTTGAAAATACAGCACATTTTTCTGTGTTCCCAGTGGCTAAACAGAGCGGGGATGGAGTGAAAGAAGGTCTGTATGGACCATGGGTTGGGCAAGCATTAAAGTAAACTGGCTGCTTTGAAATGAGCATTTTCAGTAAGAAGGACGTCATCCTCTTTAGTAAGGGAAGGGGGTAAGGTAAGTATATTTTATAACTTTCTTTTTTAAAGGTGTGTTTTTTTATTTTAAAGTATCAGTCTGTGATTTGTAAAGGGGGGGTGGGGGGGGGGCTGAAGTAATAAATGTACCTTATCTTTTAGTGCAAGGTCTGCTTAAATTTCTGATTAATTCTGCGTAACTATAGGATAGCTTTGACACTGCACTACAAGGTCCATTTGAAAAAAAATGATGATAGAACTTTGAAAATATTTTCCAAGTCAACAAAAGATCCATGCATGAAATCCATGCAATGACATGAAGTGGTCCTCGTTCCTGCCAATCTTTCTGGAATCTGTGTTTTCAGCTTTTGCTGGTACTTTGCATAGAGCGTCAGTTCCCATACAGCAGTGCGTTTTAAGTGCCAGTTACCATAATCTTTAGGTTTGCAACACCTAGACCAGTGGTTCTCAAATTTTTTTTCTCCCTAAAGCCTAGTATTTGTTGTCCCACATAACAACTGGGCCACCCATGCACAGAAGTCATTAGTGCAAAAAATTGATTTTCGCAGGATTGTTACAGTTTTTTTTGGAAAGCATTATCAGTGGAACTCCATTAAAAAAAACAATCTGTATACTGAGTATTTAGATTATACCCAGGCAGGTACCATCACTCTTTACAGCTGTCGGAAAATGATGTTGATCTGACTATGTTTACCAACATATACAAAGTGGAATTTACAAAGCCCGCTCTTAGTCTAAACCTGCTTTCACACCTTGCAGTGCAGAGCTTGCCAATGAAAGTAGCAGACCACCCATGTGTCCGTTTTCCTCACTAAGGACCTGTTAATCTAGCAACAGGTGAGTGGAAGTGATATGAACTGTGATAGCAGACACTCTCCACCTAGAAAAAAAGCATTTTTAAAGTTCAGATAAATTGAATTTGACTTAGGCTGTATCCCAATGAATACGCGCGGCAAATACGCCCCAAAGAAGCTCCTGTAGTTCTTTGGGTGTAGGGTGTTTTGTAGCACGTTCATATGGCCTGTAATACGCCCAGGAGGTGAACCATACCTATAGGAAATAATGGGATTTCGGTGTTTGAGCATTTTGCAGAGCGTAGGAACGCGCTACAAAACGCCCAGGTGTGAACTGGCCTTAGAGAAGTAAAGAAACACCCCTGTAGAGGTAGAGTAGAATTCTAGCCAAATGTATCTTTTTGTTCTGGATAGAGATGGGGTGGGTTAAAATCCCTGTGAGGGTTTCAGTGCTGCTGGGGAGCTCAACCACACTTTCTGAACAGAAAGTACAGAAATGCCATCACTGACAATTTTTAATGGACAGGGGATAACAGGAAACCTCATAGTGAAAAATCCCTGTCAAAAGAAGGATTTCCTATGACTTTCAGGAGATTATCTGCTAATTTCTTGTGATGTCATCAGGAAAGGAAGTGAAGGGTGACCTTCCCGTCACACGTAGCAGTAAAAATTCTGATAAATGATGATTTATTCATACTCCAACATATTTCTAAATATGATAAAAATTAAAATAAAGTCATAGGTTGAAAAGGTGCTTAAGCCGCAGGAGTTTGGCTTTAAAGGCTACACAAGAGATAAACACACAGTTTGAGAACCATGGGTCAAGGTGACAAACATAGCAGCTGAATAAAATGGATCTGCTGCTTTTTATTCAGATTGAGGCTGGGGTCCTCTATAGGTTATTACATGGTGGGGAATGAAGCCAAGGTCAGATGGACCTGAACTCAAAAAAAGAAGATCTGTTATCCTTTAGGAAACATCTAGGAAGCCTGAAACATCTCAGTGTACTTCCCAACATGTATCTATGCCTTGGCACTGCTGTTTTGTAGCTGTAAATCTGCATTATCAGATCATCTAATGTGCTGCTTCATCTGGCTGCTAGTCTCAAGAGAGTAAAGGTGGCAATACACTTCGTGAAATTCCCTCAGTGGGTGCCACTTTTGGCACCCTTTCAGCCAGCATCCCTTGATCAGGTGATTGAGCTGGTTGGAAAAAATTCGTACGAACAGCGACGGCAACTGTTTTGTATTTCAAAAGAAACTGCAGGAATTTCTCAATCAACACGCTCATAGCGTTGATGAAGAAATCTGCTTTATTTTTTTTCATTCATCCTGCAGGTTGAAGAAAAAAATTGAGCAGTGTATGGCCAGCTGAACATTTGGTGATGTCACTACTAGGCGGATCCCTGCTCTCCTTACTGGAGTAGAAGCTGTACCTGAGGACCTGCAGTACAAAGATCTCCCTGCCTATGCTTCATCCATTCTATGGATCTGTGATTTCTGTTCCTACCCTGCTTCTTGAATATGACCCCACCAGTCATAAGATTACCACTTATTGGGGGGACAGGTCTTACATGACAAAGTAAAGCCCTCTACACAGAGACACAGTGCAGAACAAGGCATGGTGTGACAGTACTGTGAAAATGTTCAGCTGCATGGAGCTTACAGGCAATACTGGAGACTAGTTCTTTACACTTTGCCCTCTTGTGCCTTCTTTGTCACAAGTTTCACATCTCAGGTCCTCCAGCTATTGAAAGTTACATATGATAGCTAGCTGTATCTTCATTTCATTTTAGGATAATACTCTATTGAATGGAATGACACAAGCAAATGGATGAATATACATAAAGATGGACAGTCCAATGAGGGGATACTTTTTGACCTCCATGTACTCCCAGGGTCTACAGCCAAAGAGCAATATCAATGTACAATAAAGCAAAGCTTAGCTACATACCTCAGAGCTGACCCCTTTGGGGTGGCAATGCCATAGCCCTTGGAATCCAAGTTACCTCCCACCTTCATGGTGTCACATGGTTTTCTCTGTTCTATATACTCGTTCATCGTGGACTCCAAAAGATAGGCATATTTGCCTTTAGACTTTCTCACTCTGTTCATCCCTTCCTCAGTGGTCTTAACAAAAACCGAGGGTTCCGCTGAACGCATGTAAGTCCACATTTTTTCAAACACAGCTATTTTAGATCTCTAGGAAAACAACAGAAGAAAGCAGACTTGGAAACCATTTAAGAACCTGTGACAAGATATACACATTTTGTGACTATTGATGCTATCAAAAAAGCTTTCAGGACGGAAAGTGGTGAACAGCTATTTGAGAAATTTAATGTCTCGTTAAAATGCTTTCATGGCATATTATCTGAAGCGGAGCTTCCGTACACAACTGCTTAAAGTAATGCATAAAAAAAGCTGGAATTACAAATTAGGCAAGAGGTCTTTTGATATTTTGATAGCAGGAGACAAGCCATGAAAACTGTTCTTTTTTGTTACACTTATGGTGCATAAACTGTATACAAAGCTTGATACGTATGCTTTAATGACAAGGAGGAAGACATATCCTATAACTATTTTGTGATGGCTTATAGAAATGCAGGAAAAAAGAGCACTAAAGATTGTTTTAAAATGGCAATTATCAACACATCTTAATACATTTGAGAAATTAAAGGAGAACTATGAGGTCAGTGATTTCCACTCATCCTCATAGTTAGAGCCAACCTGTGACAAAGAAGCTGTCACAGGTCGGCTCTATCAAACGGGAAGTGAGCAGAAACATGCACCGATCCGCTCACTTCACGATCGTCTCCCTGCAGTGAGCGGTGACTGTCAGTCACCACTCCCCGCAGGGATTCCTCCCTCCCCTCTCCGATCCTCCAGGGCTGAGTGGAGGAACGAACGGGGGAGTGGGCGGGCACAGCTGGCTCTGCCTCTAGATAGGCAGAGCCAGCTGTCATTCACGCAGCTGGGTAGATCTGAACAGTATTGTCAGGATCTGTCCCGGCTACGGCACTCTCAGTATATGGCAGGTTATTTACTGAGGTTTGAGTCACGGGAGGAGATTAGTATATGTCCTCCCGCGTGACCCTACAAAGAACTATGGGGAAAAACACATAGGGGTCTATTCACTAAGCTGCCGTAGGCAGCCGAGTGAATGACCGACCTGAAGTGAAGTGAGCCGAACACTGTTTGGCTATTCACTTCAGGCTGGTACGGCTGATTTCAGCTGTATATCGGCTGAAATCAGCCGTACATCGGCTTGCTTCGCATGGCTTCGGGTCGGCCGAACATGCTCAGCATGTTCGGCTGACCCGAAGTGCAGAAGGATTTCGACTAAGCCGATCCAACATCTGGATCGGCTGAGCCGAACCTCCGGCAGGCTACTCACTGCTGTTCAGCCTATTCTTATAGATGAGCGGCATTCGGCTCGGCTGTTCTGCTCGGTCCCTCAGAGGGACCGAGCAGAACAGAAAAATAGTTTTAAAAGTTTTAAAAAAGTAAATAGAAAACGATTGTGTGGAGCTAGCAATGACAGCTAGCTCCGCCCAACAGTTTTCTATTGTCCGGCGGTTCTGCTCTCCCGGGCTCTCTGGGAGCCTCCCGCTCCCGGCTGCCCAGGAGAGAAACAATGCTTTTTCTTTTTTTTTCTTTATTCTGACACTGAGCCATGTCAGCATCGAAAATTTTTATATTTATTTTTGCCCATTGGAATGCATTACACGTCAATGACGTTTAGCGCTGTACTATTTAACACAATCTTTGCTCTAGGGCCTAGTGCCTGAGTCCAGCAGCTTTTTGTACGCTTTCAGTTTTATAGAAATCATATTTGTAGTTCCTGGGTCATACATTTTATTTATTTATTCACCTATTAGTGCTATTTTTCCATTAGCGCAAGTTCTTGCAATTACCATTGGAATGCATTGCTACATTCCTATTAGACATGTGCGATTCGTTTCGTTCCGAATCGAAATTCGGACGAATTTTCGGAAATTCGGACATTCGGATGTATCCGAATTCCGAATTACAGACATAACGAATGCAAACGAATCCGAATTTCCATTTCCGAAATTCGGTAGCGTTCGTACGAACGTTCGTTTCGTTTTCTGTTCTTATTCGTTTCTTATTCGTTTCGTTCGTTGGAGCAAAGTGACATTAGAGAAGGAGAAAAATATTTTTTCCCCCTCAAATGTCACTTTTGCTGCAAACGAACGAACGAAACGAATAAGAAACGAATAAGAACAGAAAACGAAACGAACGTTCGTACTAACGCTACCGAATTTCGTCCGAATCCGAATTCAGAATCCGAATTGACTTTCACACACGAATCCTGAAAAACGAAATAACACAAATCTGAATTTAAAACAAAACGAAACTAAACGAATTTTTTGGCAGTGCACATGTCTAATTCCTATTGCCTATTTCAATTTGCCATAGCCAATATTAAACAAGCATTGTACCCGCACTGAACTGCAGCAGGGGGCGGGTACAATGCTAGTTTACTATTGGCTATTGAAATACCAAATTGAAATAGCCAATAGGAATCTAGCAATGCATTCCAATGGGCAAAAATTATTTATTTATTTTTTCTATTCAGACACGGCTCCATGTCAGAATAAAAAAAAAAAGAAACAGCAGCGTTTATCCCCTTGGTGGCCGGGAGTGGGAGACTCCCGGAGCACCAGGGAGAGTTAGCTGTCTGGAGATCAGTGTCCCTGGTTAGCAGGTAACCAGGGACGCTGATCTCTCTGCAAGTGGCCAGAGCCCAGCTGTAAGAAGCAGGCTGTCGGCCGGCTGCTCGGCCAGCTTCGGCTTTCAGCGCGGCTCAGCCGAGCCGAGGCATATGCGTTCGGCTCGACTGAGCCTCTCGGCCACGTTCGAGTGAATAGCCCGTACAGCACCCCTTCGGTTCTACTGAACCGAAGGGGCCCTGGGGCCGAAGCATCGACCAAAGCTACGGCTAGATCCTTCGGCAGCTTTGTGAATAGACCCCATAGTTCTCTTTTAATGTCTGGAATTTTCTTTCATTCAGATTTAAAGAATACAGATGCATGAATGGAAGATCAATGATGGATGTTAAGTATCCACCCAGTAGGGAACCTATTGATGGTAATTTAATTTTATTCTTAAAGCGGACCTCCACACAGACGTTTTATTAAGTCTCTAGTCTGGGGAAAGGTTAAAACCTTTGTCATGTTTTATTGCTGTGTCCCCATTGCAGAGATCTCCTTCACTTCCTGCTGTAGAGACACAATATGAAGTAAGGAGAAATACTAGCTGTGACAATTGTCATTTAAACAGGTGCCCACATAGGGACACTGTTACAATTACAACTGTAAAATTGTAATGAAGCATTTCCTCAGTCGCTTTTCCCTCAGTGATGAGATCAGCAACATTTTAGCAAGGTAAGAGGTTTCAGCAGGGGCTGATCTGTGCCAGACATGTTTGAACGTAGCCACGAACTGCACAGTCACCAAAATATATGTAATTGTCTCTGAGGCAGCATCTCAGTCAAGGAAGCAGATGCTGACCCTGGACAATGCTTGAACAAAGATGGCTCCGCTCTTCTGGAATGAAAGATAGATGAAGGCATTGTAGGTGGCCAGGGGCATCCCGAGGCTGGGTGTCACCCGGAGCGGAGACCGGGTGACACCCCGACGTGACGTCATCGCGCATGTGCGGTCGTCTAATTGACACCTGCCGGCGGCCATCTTGGTGATGGACACCAGCAGATAGATGAGGGGACGTTCACCTGGCAGGATGAGGTATACCACCGGGTTCCCTCCTTTCTCCTGACACTGTCGGGCTCTCGGTCGGTGACCGAGTGCCCGGCTTTTCATAGGGGGTGACACCAAAATGACCGTCAATCATTTTGGTGTCACCCCTCCAATGATGGCACCTGGGTGTGGGCCGCACCCCCCGCAGCCCCCTTGTGACTGTAAGTGGCAGTTCTGTGATGTCTGTGAGAGGCCCAATGAATCACCATATTTACAAAAGATTTGAACATCTGCAATGGCATCATTGTGTTGGCTGCACTGACATTTTCTGAGAGCCACTGCACAAATCAATCAGATAGTAATGATTTTATCGAACCTTAAAAAATTCTTTTGTAGATCCAGAATCTAGGGTTCCATATGTTATCTCTGTCTGTTTAGCCAAATCGTCAGCACTCTCGATGGGCGATACCATCCTCTCCACTGTCAAGAAGGCCGCTAAGTTTGCTGTATAAGATGAGATGATGATGAGGGTGAAAAACCACCAGACACCGCCCACTATGCGTCCTGAGAGAGACCTGGAAGGAAGTATAAGAAATTATCCATTTAAGCAGGACAGGATTACACCACAGTGCCATTTCTAACAGCTCATGACCATACCAGGATCAAATCAGTTTTTCAGCATAAAAAATCTTTATATCTGTGTACTAGGGAAGAGAGAACTTGAAATACATACCTGGGCAAAATAAAAATGTATTCAGTATATCTCTGCAATACATGCACATTTCCCCATGTAATGCTTGAAGGACCTCAGAAGTACAGGAGAATACCTTTTCATCCAGGCAGAATGTTCTCCGCTCCTAATTTCCTGTTCTACCTTTTCTGTACTGCAAATGCAAGAAATTGTACATGCTCTGCCCTGTTGTGTATTGCTGGACCACAGAATGCCTACCCTCTTCTCATCACTACAACATAGGGTGATGTCTTAGGAAGGCTGATTAGACAAGGCTGCTGAGTACAGGTCACAGAATGGCTTTGGATTTCTAAAAGGAAATTGTTTGCACTCAGCGTTATGTTTAACTGACTAAAATTAGTAAATAAGAGAAGTTAATTGTTAGGGTTTACATACGCTTATCAAATGTTTGCACTCACCAAATGCAGCCAACTTGTAGTGCCTCCAAGTTCCTTTATTACTAGATTGTTTTCTGAGCTCCTGCAAAGGCCTTGGACCTACTTTGTTATTCTGGAAAGAGCTTCAACTGCTGCCAAGACTCACGAATTACCGAATCTCTGCCAACTGCCTGCTGGTTGATCCCACCTTCCGTTCTACCCCTGAAGCCTTTCCTGTTCCTCTCCACCTGACCAATCATGTATTTACCACCCCACTTCTTTCTCATATACTGTTTTAGCCCTTCACCTCCTTCCTCCTTTTAAACTAGGGATGTCCCGATACCACTCTTTTAAAACCAAGTACCAGTACTGTCCCTCATGTACTTGCCGATACCAATTACCGATACTTTTTCTTAAAAGGACATGTGACATTTTTTTCTAAAACAACACAGACTGATCATTTTAGGGCAGTTTCTCACCAGAGCTAAATACAGATGTCACCAGAACTGAATACATGTGCCCACAGCAGAACACATGTCCCCAAAGCTGAACACATGTCCTTAAAGCAGAATAGTATTCTGCTTTGGGGACATGTATTCTGAGAATACATGTCCCCAAAGCAGGATACATGTCCCCACATGTCCGAGGCGACCAAGGCTCTCGCCTTGGGCGCAGGTGCGGGGAGTGGGCACAGCCAACAGGGAGAGGTGGGGCGGCACAGCCTGCAGCTTCTCCTCTGGATCCCCACTGCTCTCCCCCGCCTGTATGGGCAGAGGCGGCGGGGAATCAGAGGAGAAGTGAAGCACTGAAGCCGGCGGGGAGGAGGAGGAAGCGCTGCCACTTTAAGATGGCAGAGTGGTGAGGAGAGAGAGAGCCGCTCGGCCAGGATCTGATAGCCGCCGGCTCTCTCTTTCCTCACCGCTCTGCCGGCTTCAGCGCTTCACTTCTCCTCGGATCCCCGCTGCCTCTGCCCATACACCTCTCCCTGTTGGCTGCACCCACCCCCCGCACCTACCGATACTAGTAGTATTGGGACATTCCTACTTTAAACACAATCATGTAGCCCCTACACCTATTGCTTTTAGCCTGGGAGCTACCACAGCTAATAGAGCCCAGATCACTTGTTCTTGTTGGTAGCTAACAGCAAAGTTACTCCTTACACAGAATAAAGTATACCTTTTGCACATTCTGATGCAGAGGTTAGGATTCCTTTTGGAGTTAGGGTCATGGTTTTATGGGGTTTGAACTAAGTGTTAGGGTTAATGTTATAGTTTAGGGCATTTAAGCCTAACTTCAGCTTACATTTAATTTAGGTGGACAATAATTAACATTTTTGTATTTTTTAATGCGTGACTGCATTGAGGATATTTTGCCTCACTTGCTGTCTCTATGAAACCCTGTACAGGGCGTGGGGGTAGAAGAGAGCAGAGTTCAACAGCATGTCAGAGTTGCTTTAAAGCAAATCTGTATTTCCTCTATGTACACTCAACAAGTTTACTTTATTTACTACCCCCCATCCCCCCAGCAGCAAATACTCACCTTTCCTTTCCTCCCCCATTCAGATGCCATAAGTGAAGAAAATACTAGGTACTTTCAGGTATGGAAGAACATGTGACTTGTTCTTCTTCCTCTCATGTGACAGTGCTAATGCTTGGTGACCGGTTCAGTGCTGTCAAACAGCCCTGTGTAATCTCCCACTAAAACAATTTAGAGCCTACACAGGGCTTACTCACCTTGCTCTCAGAAGTTGAGTTGCTCATGGACAAAGCACAGGCTTCTTTTAAAGCCAGCTCAGTTGAATTTTATTTTTTCTTTTGGATAGAATATTGAAAGGTTAGAACCTCTATAAGGTAAATATTGCTATCCAGGGCAGGAAGTGAAGGAATTTACAAAAAGAAGCGAAGAGAAATGGTCCCAACCCAGATACAAAATGCAATCAATGCCTGATAGACTCTTTTCCACTGTATCCCAAAAAAATGTTTTTGGCTGTAGTTTTGATTCATTTCACTGTTGCTGCTTTATTGGTTCCCAGTCTTAAGATAACTAGAAAGTTGAATGTCAGCTTCAGTGTGTCCTGATCCCAGTAATCCTAACAAATCAATCAAATGACATAATCTCTCCTTTCTCACCCCTAAGAATTTACAGTTCAAAGTGAGTGGAAAACAGTTATTCACTATCTTGACTATAATGATAGCTATCTAAGGTCAGTCTATCTGAAAAGTCATAGCTACTGTTCACTTTCAATACACCTTGGGGCTATACAAATTAACGCAGTCATCTATTGTCAAATCTCCTGGTGAAGTATGTGATCAAAAGTCCATAAACATTTGTAGATATGGACGGCATACACATAATAGATCATAGGAGCCTTGTCCAAACGGGAAAATAATGACATACTATGCAAAGATCTGGACACGGCCCAACAATCTCAAGTTCAATGAGGATAAAATCTAGTACTTAGCGGAACTCTTAAATGTAGATGATGTCATGCTTAATGAAATAGCAGCAATTCAAAACAAGCCTGTTCCACAGGACAGATGATCTAGTGTCCTTTTTTGGCATGAAAAGAGTGTTAGCACAATAAGTTAATCTCTAACCCACTGAAAATGTTACCTTAAATGAACCTGCACTTAAAATGTGAACATTTGCTATATTATATGAAACGTAGATGTGTTAATAGTTCCTAAACAGTAGACTGAAAATGTACCTTTTGTTTTGAATGCCTCATAATTGTGCATCTGCATTGTGAGATCATCCAAGGCATTGCTGCCTCTGACTGCCAGTTTAACTAGATTTGGAGTGAGGTTTGGTGATGTCACTGCTGGTCTGCTCATTGTTCTCCATGCTGGAGAGGAAGCTGTATCTGAGGACCTGCAGTGCAAGGGCATGCCTGAAAATGCTTCTTGTACTCTGGATGTGCGCTTCTTCCACCTCTCCTGCATTTCTTGATCATTTAATTACCCTACTAGTCATCAGATCACCAGTCATCGGGGGCAGCTTTAATACAATGAAGTAAAGTCCTTCATCTTGAACAAGATGGCTACCATCACATGAAGACACAGCAAAAAACAAGTCAGAATTGTGTAAATGATTAGCGGCAGGGAGCCTTCAGGCAATACCAATGAATTTGTTTTCTGACTGCTTTTTCTATTAGAAAACATATTCCAAAGTACAGGTCCTCTTTGAAAGGAAATCATGTGGCAACACAGACCCTAGCAGATGTTAAATATATTTAAAGCAGCCTGGGAAAAGCACTGCTGTGTCTGAATGAGTATAATGCAAGCAGATGCATCCAAACATAACCTTGAAGAATTTCTCATGCAAGAAGGTATGTTTCATGCATCAATTGCTAGTGCATGGTGAAAATAAACAATCAGACTTTTTTTTAAGTCAGTTTTATAAATGCAATTAAATTCTGTACTGCAGAATGTACCCCCTCTTTTTCTCCAGTCTTCCCCTCCATTCCTGTTGTGGTGGCATCTCAAAATTTTGGATTTACCCCGACTTTCATTCCCAGTGACATTGGAAATTGGGGCAATAAGAGAGAGTGAATTAAGGCATGTGCATTATTACTCGCTAATCTGTGCATTAAAAAAGCTCCTTCACAACAGCCCTATTGGGCAACATTGCCCAAAGCAGTCCCAGTGCATAGACAAGGCATATTGCCTTTCCTTACAGTATGTCCTATTGTTTCAATGCACACCAACATGCATGTGTGACATTTTAATAAAGTTAAAGAAAAAAAGTAAACAGTGCAATGTGTTGTAACAACATATCACAGCGCCCCCACACAACGCACACACGCGTGGGCATGTTATACAGAGCATAACATGTGCTTGCTGGTGTGAATGTGTCCTAAAACAAAGGCTCTAAAGTCAGGTTACAGTCAGGACTGTTTTTTAAGTTACGCATGTGAATGTGGACATGTAACAAATATAAAATAGGTGTTATTCCAATTTGGCTGCAAAAGTGAAACTACACTTTAAAATGAAAGCTATATATCCATATTCTGTTTGCTCAAGTCTTAGTGAATTCCCATCAATATGATGGAAGGTGTCCCTTTTTCTCTTCTCAGAAATTTGGGAGGCATGCTTTAGCAAATTAAATAATATTTACAGGTCTATTCACAAAAGGGTGAAGAGTTTGTGGGAGGCGGGAGAGGTAAACAATCTAGGACAACATAGCTGAACTTGAAAGTGAGCTGAATAGGAGAATGTTTCCGAATCAGCTATGTTGTCCTAGATTGTTCACTTCTCCTGCATTCTGCAAACTCTTCACCCTTTTGCGAATATCCCTCTTAGTTAGGGTTTCGATCTGCAATAATATAATATATATTATTAATTAATGGCTCAATTATATTTTCATTTTTTCAAGGTTTCTAAGTTTCTAAATTAATGTTATGATCCCTTGCAGGCAAATTAAGTAGGGCTTTTAGGGTGTTGTTCTTTTTTCACTCAGATTTACATTT